TTCACCCACTCAAGACTCGTCATTAGTTAATAATAACTTTTTAGATTTGTTACTAAGTTATTGTTGTAGTGTTGTGTACAAATTTGAAAGAAACATTACTGTAAATACACAAAAATGTTGATTTGGGAACCTTTCACTTTGCTGGGTCACTGATTTCCCTTTTTACTGACCCTTATTTGAGTTCCTTAAAGTCTCCTAACCCGTCCTTATTTCTGGTGTAAAGTTGTCACAAAAATTATTTTAAACCCAACTTAGTGTAGTAATGTGTGTGTGTGTGTGTGTGTGTGTGTGTGTGTGTGTGTGTGTGTGTGTGTGTGTGTGTGTGTGTGTGTGTCTGCACTGTGCAGTAATAGAAGATTATATTTGGCAATAACGAATTCGATACACTAGAAGCAGCATTTGCAGATATTTAGTTAGTGCTAGAAGTCAGTGGGGATCTGCATGAGTGAAGGTCATTTTATTATTTCTAAGGCATGAACAGGCTTCAGCAGCTTTGCAGAAGTCTTTGTCACCGCAGGGACGTTCACATAAAAAAAATGTCTGACAGAGAACCGAGTGTGACTTGACAAGAAAAAAACTCTGAAACCACATCCTCTTTCCCTCTCAGCCCTTAAGGAGGCTACAGGAGAGATGATATGCGAAGATGTCTGTTTTAAACTCGTCAAAGTTGGCACTAACCTCTATTGTTAAGGTGTATTCAGTCATTCTTGACTTAATGCAAGTTTGTCTTGAGTGTAAATCATTCAAAGTGGCCTAAAATTCAATGCTAAAGAGCAATATTCTGTTTGTGTTTGGATGCGTGAGTCGGCGGGTTTTTGATGTTGTCATAGTCATGAGGCAAGAGAACTCATGTTTCCTTTTAAACCCAAAAGTCAGAGACGTCAACTTGAAACTGATTCCTGGCGAATCGTCATCAGGAGCGTTTATTTTGTTGCAACAGCTGTGGCACAGTCACATGGACAGACTGTCACTTGACTCACTTGTTGTCTAACTAAATGCAGACCTACTGTATGTTTGTTCCCCAGTGAATCCTTTTCATACCCTCTAACCTTTAACACCCTCCTTAACTGAGACTAAAATGAAACATCTGATTCTTGTGTTGTGACATTGTGTCTATAAAAACTTTATTTTAACTAAAACCAAGACTTGAACTGGTCATTGGATCAGGTGGGAACATGTGACACATTACCATACAATGTTACTGTACAATTAATCAGAATTTGTGCAGAGAACAAACTTTAGCTTTTGTTTTATGCCATATTTGTCTCCGGCTTTGACTCAGTCTAAACATGTATAAATCAGATAATACGTAGAGCCAAACTATAAAAATGGACAATTATTCATAAAACTTGCACTTTTCTATTAATTCTCTTCCATGTTTACAATTTTTTTTCTCACGAACTTGGAAAACATCACAACTGAAAATATCACAAAGGTTTGAATCACTTCCTCATAAACAGCTGCTGGTTTTCCTGGTGGGGTTGTGGGTCTCTAATAAAAGCCTGACCAAAAACCAAGACGTTAACTCATCTTGTTAAAGCATATATAAATTTAGATCAAAATACCTCATGTGATTGTGAGACACATTACCACACAGTTAACACCTAATTTAAAGTGCTCTTTGCTCTTCTTCAAAGATGAGGTGCAAAACATCCAGAGGAGGAGCAGTGTGTCTTCTGAATACTTGTATTTATGCATCTATGTTTTCACCACAGTTGTCAAACCTGTGCAGAGAACAAACATCAACTTCTGTATCACATGGAGCATCATTATGATAATGACTATGACTCAGCGACCAGTCAGCAACTGTCAAAGTCTGCAGTTTCCAAACCTGAAGGTAGCAACCAAGAAACCTTTATTTCAATCCCCAGGATCAGATCACCAACCCCACTTTTTACTATCAGGTACTTTGGCTTTGAGAAATCTTGAGCACCACCAGCCCAGCTCACCTAGTTCTACGTAAAGCAAGGAGATCCAGCAAACAGGTCCAAGCGGTCAGAAGACAACTTCTAAACATATCAGCAGAGCTGGGAGCAGTGGACAGAAAACATTCAGAGATGTGAGCTTCCAAGAAGAAGGAAAAAACTGGTCTGTAATAACCACATGGCAGAGGCGATCACATTTCTATGCTTTTCAGCATTCTTTTATTACTCTCAGTTGCTGTCAATTACACACAACCAGCTGCAGTTTTCCAGCTCGCACCTGCACAACAACAACAATTACGGCAGGACCTAGTTCAGCCTTTAAAGCAGGTGCAGCATGATCGTTGATGCTGCTCAGGTGAGACCACCTCGCCACAGCCGCGCCACCGTCTTTGCCCCGCAACAAAGTCATTATCTTATTTTTAATTTCATCACTTTTTTCTTGTTACAAGAAACTCAGCAGATTCTTCATCATGATGCTAGCAGCATCATTTTTAAAAGTGTGAATACAAACAGGTCACAATTTTCTTGTTGCTGTTTTGTGTTTTTTTCTTTACTATATTTTTTCCACATATCTCTCCTTCCACTGAGTCAAAGCATCATCAGCAGAACAGCTCCACACCAGATCATCAGCTCGACATCATATACTGCTCAGCCTTCCTCATTACTGGTCTCATCCTTCTTATTAGTGATGTGTTGGTTGCGAACGAAACGGCTCTTAGAGCCAACTCTTTGAAGTGAACGATGTGATCCAGCTCCTTATTGGGAGGCAATGTTTTTTTTTTCTTTCTCTCACCCTCTCTCTCGCACTTTTTCTTCTGCTTCACTCCACACGCGAGCCTTGTGCTTTGCGCTGGGAAGAGGGGGGGCTCTGTGCCTAGCTCCAGGATGCTAGGCGCAGTGTTGAGCTTTTGTTACCCAATGGCTACACAAGCCAGGAAGTACCAACGACCAGATTTGGTGTGTGGTAGTAACAGGTAAATTAACTTTTTTTTTTAAAAATTATTTGAATATATATGTGTGCTTGTGTATAAACACACAAACAATACACATATGCTTTCAATTGTGTAATTTAAGTGATCTAGGTAGCTCTGTTCAGTTAACGCTAGAAATATGTTTTGGAGTTTGTATGTGTTTTGTCTCTAGGGGCCACCACATATATTTATATATAAACATATATAAATAAAACCACTTTTTTACATTAGTAATTCCTTTTGTGCATAATTTTATATTATTGTTAATAATAAATTAATTAAAGCAACAAAACAACCTGAAGAGCCGGTTCTCTAAAAAGAGCTGGAAATCCCATCACTAATGATCAGATATCAGGTGATCAGTAGACTTATTTTCTCACAAACTCCGGTCCATTCAGATATCGTTTTATAGCTACAAGTCTCCCCCTGCTGGATATTGGAAAGAATGCAGGTTTAAGGTTTCATTAAAGTTTTTCTGAATCACTAAAACATTAAACTCCCTTCCCTAAACCAAATCCTCAGTGGCCTAAACTTGTGTTTAAGATTTTGAGAAAAAGAGTGGATGAGTTTTGTAAATTGTACGGTGGGCCTGAGACGCCAAACGGACTGCAACTTAAGAAAACACCAGCAATAAGAAAAACGCTGCAAAAGCACAGAAAACACAACTGACTGCTGTCAGTCTTATATTACAAGTTTTTCTGAATGCTTAAACCCTAACTGTGATTCCTGTAGCACAATCTTTAAAACTATTCAGACTTATAGCAAAACCACTCACTGAGTTGGCAAAACTAAAAGCACAAAAACTGCTTTGCACTCAGTTTGCAATTTTGTAACACACACTTTGCACGGCTGTAGGCACAATTCACTGCACAACACTCAATTACCAAATTTCCAACACACTCCTAGCAAAAGTATACACATGTATGGCTATCATTAACACTAATTTGCCAACT